AATGATCAAATTTGTCTTAGATGAAGTGCCGCCAGAATGCTTCTTGGAAACGAGAATGTCCAGAGTTCATCTCATGTATGTTGGTCATGCTATCAGAGGGACCATTGCCTGGAGAAGGATATCATGCTTGGTAAAGGGGAGGATCAGCGAAAAAAGTGAAGGTCCTCGACAAGATGGATTGACACAGTGGCTGCAACAATGGGCTCAGGTATAGCAAGGATTGTGAGGAAGGCTCATGCCTGGTTAGTGTTTCATTCTGTTGTACATAGGGTCAGTATAAGTCGGAGCCAAGTCGATGGCACCTAACAACAACAACAACATACTAGGCACAGACTCTGAATATACTTTAATACCATGGAGTAAAATTAAATGAACTTCAAAAGACAAATACAAAATTAATATGCCTTCATATGTATCTAAAGTAAAAACAGCATCTAGTAAGCAATACAATTCAATATACATTTTTTTAATTTAATGTTCACGTATTTGAAACTATTACAGGTGACATATATGAGTATATTTGCAGAATAGAAAATATGGAAGGATAAGCTCAATAATACTAGTATTTCTTATACATTTTTATAGCTATTTCCTTGTTTCTTTTTTTTTTTTCCATTTGATTTTGTTGTCTGATCAAATGCCTTAGAAACCAGGAAAACTAACTTGTTGCTATCAACTTGATAAGTTGATTCCAACTAATAGTGACTCTGTGGGACAGAGTAGAGCTGCCTCATAGGAATGCCAAGGTTGTAAATCTTTATGAAAGCAGATTGCAATATTTTTCTCCAGTAGAGCAGCTTTGGGTTTTAACCACCAGCTATTCAGTAAGCAGCCAAGATGTTTAACCATTATGTCATAACGACTTCTTCAACCTTCTAAGGTTTATTTATTACTTTTATATAAATTGATAAAGGAGAAAACTACTTTATATGATAGGAATTAGCTTAAAAAAACTTGACTAAATTTTCTTTTAATTGGATTCTTATTGTTTTCCTTCCAGTCTCTTTTAAATAATTTGAAGCTTTTTCAAGTCTCTATAGGCCATATTCCTATTCTTATTGTGTTAAGTTTCATTTTTTTTCTCCTGAAAGTTCATTACACTGATGATTCATTAGTAGTTTTGGAACCTAGGTCACCAAGGGCCCTTTGGTTTATTATGTTCATTGTGAACTTGGCAGCAAAACAAATATTAAGCTTGTAATTAGAAAACTTTGTGAGTGAACACAGTCAAGAACATCAACTCTCCCATAAGTTAGCAGGAGTTCCTCTGTACTAATGTTCATTTTCAGTGATGGAAAGCAAAATAAAACATATCCTGACCTGATGACAGCACGTCTATCATGAGGAGATTTATGCAAGAGATTGAAGATAGAAAACCCAAGTCACTCAAGAATGCTGGAACTGTGGGTGTGGATTGAATCTGTAGTGATTAGAAATTGTCATGCTGGTTTTCAACTTTACATTTATTTTCAAATTTGTAACTGTGAGAACTTATAGTTAAACACCTCAAAGAGAAAGGTAAAGTTAATTGCCAGAAGTATGAAGCATGATAAATCCTGTAATTTTAGTTAAATTTTGTACAAAAAGGTCATCTTTGTATCTGGAAAATAGATTTATTCTGACTGATGGGAATTCTGGTAGTGTAGTGCATAAGGCATTTGACTGCTAACCGAAGGCTGGAGGTTCAAACCCACCAGCCATTCCTTGGAAGGAGGATGGAGCAATCTACTTCCGTAGTGATACTACCTCGGAAACCCAAGGAGGGGTCACTATGAATTAGATCCAACTTTTCAGCAGTTAGTTTAGTTTTGGTTTATTTATTTATTTATTTTGGTATAAGACTGAGACACCTTAGTTTTAATATGAATCTTAATGAAATGGCATTTTAGGATGTATCATTCTTGGACTGTTTCTTTCATGCTCATTTTTATGCAACAAGTAGAAAGTAATCTAAAGGCAGTCTATCTTGAGGAAAATGAAGAAGCAGTATCTCCCATATAAGAAGAAATAATCCAATTGACACTTTCATTGTGCTGAATCTCTCATTAAAAATTTAGGTTTAAAAATCTTTCAAATAAAATAGAAATAGAAATAGCATTGTTAAGTCACTTTTGACTCATAGTGACTCTATAGGATAGATTTAAACAGTCTCATAAGGTCCCAAAGGCTGTAATCTTTACACTTTCACATCTCTCCAATATAGTGACTGGTGGTTCAAATGCACACTTTAGGTTAGCAACCAAGTGTTTAACCACTGAACCCCAGGGTTCCTTAAATAATAATCAGATAATAGTGATTTAGTTGACTTAGTTACTTAACATCTGCATTATAATTTCTCACAAA